AAAAAAAACTAGCTGTGAAATTGACAAGGTAAGAAAACTATCAAAGCACAAACGCGTAGCGAAAAATTTGTTTGTATGGAATTTTTTTTGTATGATTTCTTCTGTCAATACTATAATAATTACTATTAAATACTTACGGGGAGATTAAAAAATTATCAGATAACCCGCACCACCCTATTACCCGCAGCAACGGTAGTTTACTGAAAAATTAACACATTACCCGCGGGTAATCTGCCAGAAATTATGGTAATGAAAAAACAAAAACATTGCCAAAACTCACCCAGTGTTAGGTGCAAAACTTGTGTCGAATTCCAACTTGAGTCCTTTGGCTATCTGCAGATCAGATTAATAAGACGTGAACACACAAAAGCAACACAATTTTTGAAACAAGCAGTCATTGATAACTTGGATGTTCTATAAAATAGGGGCAACAACGAAGTAACTGTAAGGAAGAGAAACTCGGAGAGAGAAGGGGTGGAGAGAGAGAGAGAGAGAGAGATATGGAGGAATGAATAGAATAATAATTAATAATTCTATTCATTCATCCCTCATAATTATTATTAGTTATGACAAGTTCATAATTTCATTGTTCTGACTTGTGATTGCAGATGATGGCTTCACTTCCAGATGCTCATCAACCATTTTCACAGTCTCCAGCAGCTGCTCAAAGTGCAGGCAGAGTTTCATTCCTTTGGAATGGTATTAAAATAAATTTAAATACCTGATCTTCTACAGTGATTTGTGTGGTCAGGACATTGTCTGTTGTCCACTTTTCGGCAAGGGTAACACCTGTCAAACCAAATGGAAACATAGTGTGTTAGCTCTAAAGACATTCAATTGTATCAATTACATATTTATGTCTAATTTAGTGATTTTCTGTTTAATTTGCCAGTTTCTGTTTACATGACAAGCCACATTAGTTTTATATATTATATATGGGCAAGCAAAATGTGATAAATAATTATATAAGTGCTGTATCAGTGAATCCAGTATTCATAACTCACCATAGTCAGTATACTTGTATTTTGTCTCCAAACTTCCAAGCACCTTTCCTGTGTCGTTGTTCGATGAACCAGAAGTTATAAATTCCTAAAAGAAGTAAACAAACACCATGGATATGGTATAATTTGTTCAGCAATATATAGATTCAGATATTTATAGATTCAAAATAACAACTTGTTCTAAAGTTTGTTCTGAATCATACCGATCATCAGGAAAATTTGCAGTCTGAAGACAAACTCTGATATTACATTGAACCTTTGGTGTTAATTATTTATTGCAAACTGGAATAATAATCTCACCACTCCTTTCTTTGTTTTTGACTTTAAATCAAGCTTGACGGATCCAAATCCTGAGAAAAGGACATTGCACAAATTCACTTAAACATATCATTTATTCAGATTACCCAAATTAAACCTGAGGTTTCAAACAAAGTAATACTTTAACAGAAATTGGGTGTACAGCAATAACAGTGAAATGGTACTTGAGCACAAATTAAACTGATTTGATATAAAAAAGAGAAGTCTCATAACCCCTGGACATGATTTTGAACTTTGCTGAGAATCATCACAGTGCAAGGAGTGACCATCCATTATTGCTGATCAGGCATTTATTGGGGAAATTTCATGAAAAACACAACTTGTTGCACCAATTTGAAATGCACTGAGCAGACGTTGCTTCAGCAGACAGGATACTCCGATACAGAATCACTCAATTGGTTAAAATTTTAAGAATTGATATGCTATATCCATGGCACATCACTAAACATCTGTTACAACTGTCAAAATTATAGCAACCCAGGTCATGAATATTGCTGTTTCCTTGCATAACTCGAATATTACATAACTCGAATATTACGTAAAATCTAATTTTCAAGACAATAAAATCACATTGCATCAAGCTTATCTTCACAGTCCATTTTTTTTTTCAATAACACCCAACACCCACCTGAGCTCGGGTGGGTGTTCTGTAGTAAATCAGCATCTATAATAATTGTCAGCAGTTTTTTTGAAAATTGGCCCTTTAGGGGAAAGTTTCATAGGTCTCTACCATTGCTCACTGATGCATGCTGAGCCAGGCTGGCCAGCCACACACTTTAAATCTTTTTGCAGACACTGTACATAGCACACAAAGAGGTTCACTATAAAGGTATTTATCCTGAGAGGAACCATTGCTAACTAACAAATGTGTCAGTTTTTTTTAAAAAGACAAAGTGAATTTTCTGTTATGACACTGACTTACCGTATCCCTTGCCAAACACATCCCTGGACTCTTTGCCAAGGTCATCATACTTTGGTGGAGTGTTTGCCATTCTATAAAGAGATAAAGATGAAAATAAACTTTAATAGATTCATCCTCTCAAAGGTTTTTCAGAAACTATTTATAATAATAATGAGAAAAAGAAAAAAATGTTCTCTAGTATAAAAAATGGTACCAAAAGGTCATGATGTAAAACAATAAATCAATCAAGGCTATGAAGCCATTTTTTCATGCCAGCATTATATGTCTTTAGGGATTCAATTTCCTTAATGACAGCACAAGGTAAGTAAACATAATCAGAAAAAATAATACTAAATTTTCAACCTTAACTTTCTCTTGAACATGCCATAGTGTCCTATGGCATGGATAATTCTATGGATAATGGATACGGATAAATCATCCCTGTGAGGGGTTGTACTCCAGATGTTTACCATCAGAAATGGTAATGGTCAAAGAATAGCCTTAAAAACACTACAGGACTGCAGATCCTGGTGACAGGCTCATTAATTTGTTATTCTCATTTTTTATACCCATCAACTATAGGTCCACAGACCATAGTAGCAGGCAGTCTCATACCCCATCTTCCACTACCAGATTATGGTTTCTGGTAAGAGGAATGCGCAAATTCATTCTTATTTATCCACTGCAGGACTACAGACCATGTGGCAGAAAAATTATTCTTATTTATCTACTACAGGACTACTGACCAGGCTGGGATTTGTCATAGTCACATGTACACTATATTTTCAGAGTTCCCAGTTTTCTCTCCATATGTTGTAACGGCAACAACACACAGCCTGTCTTAAAATATAGCTTAGTCCAGGAAAAGTAAAGAAATAACAAAGCAACAGATCCGGGAATGTTTTCCAAATTATAATCCTGGTCTTGACAATGTGTTGTTCCAGAAAATATCCATACCCCTCCCATGGAATGTTTTTTAGCTTGAAATCCCCCACCCCACCCCTCAGGAAATTCCATTTTAGTGTCATACTTTCCTTTAAAAAATTGGGCTTTGGAACCCCCCTCCCCCTTGGAATTTCCATTAACCTTCCTTGGGGTGGGTATGGATATTTTCCGGAAATACACAACATAAAAGTGAAATTATTTATGACAAACTTTGGCTGATCAGTTTTGCTTACAAAAACAGGACATTCCTGAACTAAACATCACTCAAACAGGATGAAAGCTCTTATTTCTTGTGCCAATTAATTTAACTCCAAATTTAATTTTCTTCTTAAATTCAGTGAGGAACAAAAAATTTTACTTCATCAAGCCCTGATCTTTATCAACATTGCAAAGAACACCCTGAAATGTTCATCTTTAGTTATAGAGACCGTACGAATGGAGGGAAAGAATTCAGAATATTGTTATTCACGAATAAAGTGCAATGAATGATATGAGCCTGCCGACGCGTTAACTTGGAAGAGCTTACGAACAATTCCTTTAGAAATACCAATACTATCGATGAAGTGGCACCGGCTCAGTAGAATACATTTTCACATGCATGCCGGCACATGCTGACCCCATGGATTATCAAACATATGTTGTACCTTTTAGGTACACCAATCCTTACTGATCAATTATGATGAAATATATAGATGACTTGCATCTACGATTTCGTCAACTCCCTCAGGACATCTTAGAACAAGCGTCCTAAAAATCAATATTTTGCTTTAAAACAAGGATATCCACTCGGTGTAGCACAGAACAGTGTCAATTCTCACGAAATCTGGGATGGAACGCTACGCACGTAAGAGCAATGTTTAATCGGTGGAATGTGGAGTTTCAATCACTAGAGCGGAGAATTTAGCTTGAGTCATCACAAAATTGGCCACGCGCAACATGTGCCTGCCATGAGTGATTTCCAAGAGCAGAACGATTTCACCGAAAATATGAAGACTTAGGTCTAGACCTTTAAAAATAACTCAATTTATATTCAATTACATCTTCCATAACGCTATTGAGATATCAGATATTAACGTGGCTCAATAAAACTTACGTTCTCTCCCTAGCCTTGGAGCACCCGACTTTCCTTCTTCTCCTTGACTTGGCAGAAAGTAAGATGAAGTGTGGGGCGACTGAGTCAAAAATACAGGGGCTACGTCGTTTAACTGTCACCAACTATACAACTGTGATCAATCAGTCATTTAGTTACCGCTAGTTACAACTGCATGTATGATTGTGGTTTTAGTATACCGCCAGAAATGTACGTTAGATAAACTGATTCCCCAGAATCCCGTCCCTACTCATTTATACTACATTCTTAGCATCCCCGACTGACTGACTGACTTACAGTGCTAATGACTGACAGATCTGACGGACAGAGTGACTGAATGATTGAATGACTGAACGACTGAACGACTGAATGAGTGAATGACTGATTGACTGACTGACTGACTGACTGACTGACTGACAGTGACTGACCGACCGACCGAAGACCGACTAACTGACTGACTGACTGACTGACTGACTGACTGACTGACTGACTGACTGACTGACTGACTGACTATAAACCATTGTGCAGTTCCAGAAAATATCCATACTCCCCCCACAGAAGGGATTTGAATTTCCTGGGGGGTGGGGGGCTCTATGAGACCAAAAAATTTAAAGAAATGTATGAAGCTTAACTAGAATTTCCAGAGGGGTGGGGAGGTGTTAGAAAAAATCCCTTCCTTGGGGGAGGTATGGATATTTTCTGAAACTACACATTAACTCCAAAATGGCCCATGACAAAGGGTTTCCTGGTAGGGCAAGCTTGTTTCTTTGATGCCATTGTAAAAATTCACATTTTGTCCCTTGTTACTTTTGTTACTTTTATAGGATTGTGTATGAATGGAACAGTTTGCCTCTTGAGGTCCGTTCGGCATGCAGTGGTGACAAGTTTAAAGCTCATGTTATTAAATTTGTAACAAAATTGTAAATATCATTACAGTTTTAGCGCGGCAGGTTTCTTTCACAGGTCACAGGTCACAGGTCACAGGTCACCAAAAAATATGCCAAAACGTCATAAAACAGATGCATACAAGGGCGTCCCAGTGCAACTATAAGAGCTCTTTTTTGAAAAAAAAAAGCGTAGGGGAAATCAGTTGTAGCACTGAAATAAAAAAAATAAAATAAATTGATCCAAAGAAAGCCACGACTTATTTCTGTTGAAAACATAAATTGTTTGTAGCCTTTCAATATAATATGAAAACGAAAGAGGCTTACACTGATCCGTGAATTATGCATTTACTTAC